ATTATTATTATTATTATTATTATTATTATTATTATTATTATTATTATTATTATTTTTGGTTTCTGTTTAAAAAGCTTAATCCCAGCAATTAAAATTCCTTTTGTGTTTCATTGGAATTCGATATATTCTTCACATGTGTAAAATCTTTTATCTTTTATCTTCATCTCTCAATCTCTATTATTATCATCATCATCATCCATTCTTCCTCCTGTTTATTACTATCATTTTTTACTTGGCCCAAAAATGAGAGAGGAATGAGCCTAACTTCCCCTCATGCCAAATCTTCTCTGTTCTATCTTCTCTGTCCATTTTGAACGTTAGTTTGTTAATAAGTGCAAAAAAAGCCTACCTTCCTGTATTGATCACTTCGTTAAGGAATATAGTGTAACCCTTTTTTCTTTCTCTCTCTCTCTTTTCTCTCCTCTCCCTCTATTTCTTTCCCTCTCTCTCTCTCCTTTCTCCCTTCTTCACCATATAACCAATAAATAAATAATAAAGTATAAAGTAAAAAAAAAGAAAAAACGGAAAATGAAAAGACAGAATGCATTTCTGATGTATCATTTCATTCTTCACAAATTAAACCAAAAAAAAAGAAATTATATGGAATTGAAAAGGAATTATGTGACATTATAGATGACAATTTCTAATTTTACATTCTTCTAATATGAAAATTTATCATTTGATAAATGTTTTCCCCTCCCTTTTATCATTTTTAATCAATGATGTCAACAATTCTTTAATAATATTTCTAAGTCATTTTTGAAATAATTGCACCTTTTTTTTTTCGTCAACTTTCCTAGTTAATAAATAAATTATAATATTATTTCAATAAAAATAAATGACAATCTCAATGACAAATATCTCATTATTTTTCCTTGATAGTAATTAAAATAATTAAATTTTTCCTATCTTAACTTTATCATTTTCCATTTTAATTATCAATTTATTTGCCAATTAAGATGAGAATGAATTTAATAGAATAACTTTGCAATTCAATTGGTTGAATATTTTAAAGGAACATTTGAATTGAATTCAAATCGAATCAAACTTATTCAAATTTATACTTCTTTCGATTATACTTTCTTCATTTTGTGCCATTCTTCTGGGATGAGGTTAACATTAAGGCAGAAAAAAGAAAACGAATAACAACTTGATGAGTTTGAAAAACAAGAGAAAAAAAAAATGATAGTGATACTTCACTATCCTCAATTACGCTTTTAAACAAATAACACAAAATCCTCTTTCACCATCCCTCCCTCTTTCTTTCTCTCTCTCTCTCTCGGTTTTCTTGCTTAAAGTTGCTCTTTAATAAATAACAAAAGAAATGAGAATGAAAAAGAAGAAAGAAATAAATTTTACGAAACAAAAAAAAAAATGTAAATATTTGAAAAATGAACTAATAGTTTCACTCGGTCAATCATATTAATCCTCTTTCTTTACTATCCACAGAAATTACCTCCCTCTCTCTCTCTTTTTCTCCCTCTCTCTCTCTTTCACCTTCTTCCTCGCATTTCCTTCCTCTTTCTTTCATTACCTAAAAGAGGAAGAGAAAGAGAAAGAAAGGATATAAATATTTCTTTCAGGATATAAATAAGTATTATTAACCAATATTAATCAATTCCTGTTCTGTCCAGTATATCATATCACTGTTTGATGATAACTGATATGAATGAAGAGAAGGAGAGATGAAGGGAAAGATTAAGTAATAAATAATTAAAAATTAATAATAAAGAAAAATAATGAATGAGAAAGAGAAAGGATTAAGAATACATTGAAACATAAATCAAAAATAGAAGAAAATAAAGAAAGAAAGGAATTTCCTTAATTTTACCAAACTAAATTTCCCAACTTTTCTCCGTTTCTTTCGCTCTACTACTAATACTAACTTACACCACAAATGTGAAATGATAGGCGTTCATATTTCAGTAATTAATTAATTTAGTAATTAGCATAATTAGATGGTATTTTGTCACAATTTTGCTGCATATTTTTTGATTTTTTGTTTTTTTTAACTAATTTTACTAATCTTTTTCAATTTAAGTAATATTTTACTGTAAATCAAAATACTTTGAGAGTTTTGATTTGACGAAATAACAGTTTAAAGAGATCGTCTCGATATAACTGTTTTAGATAAAAGAAATGAAATTCGATTAAAACAACAATCACTGTGTATTGTGTGCATTGATGTGTATGTGTGATGTGTGTGTATGTGTGTGTGTGCGTGTGTATGTGTGGTGTGTGTGTGTGTGTGTACAAACAGAAAAGTAAAATTAAAGTAACCCAAGCATAGGCACGAACAGTTCGTATTTACATGAATACTTTACGGGAAATAGTATGATAAAGCAGAAAGGACCAAACGGATGAACCGGAATGACAATCGGTATAAGCCGCAATGGAATGCTTTATGATCAAACTATTTCAACAAAGTATTGTTAATACCTGTAAGGTATAATATATTTCATGCATTTTTAATGTACGAAATGCGGAAATAATCATTTACGAATTGGTCGATAATATAATAGGATAATGTTAAATCAGATGATTTTCTGACTTTTTAATTGCCCATTTTTCATAATTTTTGCAAAACTAAGCCATCCGGAATCTCTCATAACTTTCATGAATGAAGAGAAATCCCATAGTTCTGCCAAATGTACCGACATCATCAGATGTATCAGCCAAATTCAATACGGACAGCTATCTCTCTTTTTGTTCGAACCTGTTTCGATCAGTTCGACGAATCGAACATTGCATCCGGTAATTGACATCCCTACTCGTACTTGAAAGTGTAGTATTTCAGAGAAATTTTACAGGTTTTTTTTTTTTCTGGAAACAACTTTAGATGTTTTCGGGCATTCCTTTTTAGACGAAAATGATCATCCGTGGTACTTCCTCAGTCATCCAAGCTACACTTTCTGCGAAGCAAAAACGATTTTCCACCAAAAAATTCAATAAGGGATAATTTGATAGCAATGCTAAATCCTACACCAAATAATTAATCCATCGGAATTAGAAAGGGAACTGACGACAATGACATTACTAGTACCCCTAGTAGTTGTGTACTGTCATAAAATGCAAGTTATTTCTGCTCTGCCGGATGAGTATCGGATGATAATGATGATGATGTTTTTGCATTTAAAATTTGATTTAAAATTTCGACATTTAAAATTTCATTTAAAATTTCATGACATTTAAAATTTCGCCTTGTTATTGTAAATTTTTTTATTATAAATTTTACCTTATTTCTTCCAGAAGGTATTATAAATCTTGCCCTATTATAAGTTTTACTTTGTTTTTTTTTTGGAAAAAGCTATCCAAATCTTGAAAAGGTAACTGAAGTGAGTAAATTAGCTCAGTATTTTGCATAACTTTAATATCACAGCAATCAATCAAAGGGATAACAAAAAATTAATGAGCAGTTAAATAGCGAGAAAGAATAATGCAATCAAATTGAAGTATTTAAAAATGTTAAGGGATGGAAAAAAAAATTACATAAAATAAATTTTGCTGAAAGAGCAACGATTGCTGAAGAACGACCAATCGAAAAAGAGAAAAAGATTCAATTTGAGGCAATAAAAGAAAAAATGGAAAGGAAAGAGAAATACAAAAATATTTCTTCCACTATGCTTTGGCACATTTCAGCAAATATAAGTGAATATTATATATACATATATGTATATATCCATATATAAGTATATATATAATGTTCAATTTCAAAACATGGAATACGTAAATTTAATGTTTATGAAAACATATCCATTCTCATTTGAAAGAAATATTCGAATGAAATATATTTAAAATAAAAAAGAAAAATTTCAAACACACAGCATTTATAATAGCATTCTCAAATATTTCAAATAAATTACAGCAAGTTTGTGGATCAAGTTCCTGGATTTATATGTTGAATATAATGCTTAATAAGTTGTGATTATGATTATCATTATTACATTATCACTGTTATCATTACTACCATTACTTATTACAATTATATTATTATTATTATTATTATTATTATTATTATTATTATTATTATTATT